AGGAAATAGAACAAGATTTTAACAAGTACAAGACAGAACATAAAAATAAATTCTATACATAAAAGTAATATCAGATAGAAAATTACCAACATAGTTCTAATTATATTTTCATAAATAAAAAAATTAAATTATGATTATTTCTAAAATTTTCAATAAGAGAAATAAAACACCACAGGGGTCTCTTTTCAGTAGATCATGTTTATTAAGAAAAAAATAACCTCAATATTCAATCTTCAACCAGGATATGTGAAATTATGAATCTAGATTGTCTAAATCTAGAGAAAAATGTTTCAAATGAGCTTTTTATTTCTTCAATGACTTTGCTATTCTCTTGAGACCTGCAGTTGGGTTGTTTAAACTGTCATAATTTGAGTTGGTGTAAGCATTAATGATTTTAAAAATTGGATGTGGATATTCCACCATTTGTGTTGTTTGGTTGCAGAGTTAAAAAATATCAATATAGCCTACCAAATTTGTTACAGAACCACCAAAATATTAATGAATTAGTCAGAAAATAAAGCTTAATTTGTTTTGACATTCGATGATCCATCAGATCTAATGTTAACAGTGAGGTCTATCTTTCCCTTATTATTTAATGATAGTTAAAGTTTAATTTTGGAATATTAAATTTTTGAGCTATTTTTGTTTTCTATAGCTCATTACAATTCACTAGTTATAAAAATATCTTATTTTGATTTTAATAATAGACCTTTTTTTCAAGCCATAGCTGCTAGTGGTAATTTCACAAATTAATTAAAAACTTAAGTTATATTTCCATTTCAAATTATAAATATATTTATAAAATTGAATAGAACTTTTTATTTTATTTAAGAAAAAAATGTACCACGTAATAAGCGCAGTTGAAGGTAAAGGAAGAAAAAGGGGTCAAATGAGGAGAACTTAAGAATTGTTTACTAAATATTTTTGTATTCATAAGTCAAAAATATTTGTGTCAGCCAAAAATTTTTTTCTACCACTACCTAAAGTTGTTACATAAAATCTAGTTTCATGTTAATCAGAGATCTTATTACAAATATGCTAGAAAATCATTTTATTTTTTTTTTAACCCTTCAAGCTAGATTTCATCAAAACGATGAGGTTTCTGCACAACCCAATTAGTTTCCCGGTATTATTATAATATCACCACCCATTTCACAATTGATTTGTTGTTATCTTTGTTGCAGGTAAATAAGTACAAACTTTAATGGAAAGCACTGAATTATTGCTGTTGAAGATGATCTAGACGAAATTCACGAAATTTTACTACAGGTAAAGGTGAAGAAGATATTCTGGAGACCAACAATGACTACAAGTCTGAATTTGATGACTCAATTGATGAACCTGACTTGGTCCCAGATAACAATGAGGTGGTTGAAGAAAATGTTTTAGAAAATACAATAAGAGAACCACAATAGCATCATAAAAAGTAAAAATAGTTTCAAGAGGAGCACAACTCTCTCCAAAAGTACAATGTGTGTGCAAACATTGTTCACGTGTGGCATGATCCTACACAAAAATATAGAGGCATGTTTCAGCCAATTAATTGTTTGAAACAGTTTTTCACTGAGTTTCATTTTATTACATGTGTTTATTTTGTTTTTAAAATTGTCTAAAATAAATAATTAACATTGAATAATATTTTCCCTCCATACTTCCATATAAAAATTTCTTTTCTGAATGCATTTTGGCAAACTGACATATATTCTTTCATTGATTATTATGTTGTTAAAGTTGTCATTTTAATTGGGTTAGCTAAATATATCAGAAAATAGTTAATAAACAGTTCTATAAGAATTATAGAAGAACGAAGAAAAGAACCAACAAATCTCTAAGAATCTATCTAGAAATTAGTTGTATTATCTAACTTTTCACCTAAAGCGAGTTTCTAATAACAAGGTATTACTGAATCTATGACCAATTTAACAATAAAAAAAGACAGATCACAATATTCCAAACTGCAAAGAACCACTAAAATCAACTATTATTAACTTGAGGTATGAATTTATTGAATATATACTTAGTAATAATAAATAATTTGTTGACTTTAATTGCTGAGACAAACTAATAATAGAATAAGCAGGAAAACTACTAAGAAGGAAGATTTAAAATATAACTTTTAATAATCAAAATAGAAGAAAAAACAACATTATGATAAAACCCAAGCTTAGTGTCTTAGATAAATTTTATATAAATAATAGTGAAATTGTCAAAAATTACATATTGATACTGATTGAAAAAAATAATAAGGATATTAAATAATTATTAAACTAATAAGTTCATCTCGGAGATCATGTAAAACTTTTTTATCAGAGGATTTATTCTAATACTTTAATTCTAAAATGTGTGGCTGTTATGGCTACTAAACATAAAATTAATAATAATATTAATGAGTGTTTTGAATGGAAAGAACAATTTAAAAAGAAATATAAAAGAAAGGGCTATGATTTCATTCCAAAAACTAAGCAATAATGAAACCTAAAGACATCCTCCTGGAATTGAAAATAAAATAAATTATTAAAAAAAAAAAAAAATCAAGATTATATAATTTAGGTTTGCTTTATAGATCTCGGTGGGATTTTCTTGATTCTTCTGAAAACCAACAATTTCTAATTCTTAAATACACAAGATGATCAATTAGATACTCCTCCATAATAGAGATAAACCAGCAATAAGATAAATAAAGCCTTAACAAAAAATTCCATGTACATAAATGTTAAAATAATAAAATTTCATAATCTATTACCAAAAGAATATGAAGTCTAGAACAAACATAAAGAAAGATCTACCAACAATAGTTGCTTATTGTAAAATAAAAATTAATGAATAAACATTATTAGATAATTTATCCTGATTTAAATAAGTTTTCATGAACGTACGGTAATTAATAAATTCAAACTAAAAAAAAAAAAACTTGTCAATAACCTACTTAAGGTATGTCTTTTTTAGAAAACTCTTGATTTTACTTTTATTCATTCTTTACAAAAAACTTCCATGATCTAAGTTTAAGAAAAATAATTTTAATTTTGTTTAGCAGTAGCAAAAAAAAGTGGTTCCCAAGGTCAAATGAAAACCTACAATATAATATAATTACATTTCCATAGAATCATGTCCAAATATAACAAAAAATGTAATGAAATTTTAAATATTTATTTTGAGACAGGTGAACTATACAGACAAGGGTGTTATATTTCTATAAACCTTAAGTTCTAAATTCATAAAAAATATGAGATATTTTTAAAAACTAATAATCCTATCCTATAAATACTATAATAATATGTTTTTTCCATCAATAGAAATGTATGTATGCAGTTAACAGAACCATTGATTGATCAATTCAACTAATTCGAACTATGCAGAAAAATCTAACTGCGTGGTTATTGGTTATTAATAACCAACGTGGCTAACCAAACACTTTGAGTATATGAGTCACTCTTAGAACAGCATTTGCTTATGCACACAATTTTTAGCCAGGGTAAATTTTGTGGTTTTATTTTAATCTTTAAAAATTGAACTGGCTAATAAACTTGAAATTACAATTATGAAGCACATTGTAACGAAGCAGTGAAAAAATGACCAAGGAAAATGTGGCTAAACTATGTGATAATAATGCATGCGATATAAATTTTAAAGCAGCCAAAACTACAGACCCAAACCTCAAGCAAAAATGAAATTTATGTAACCATAATATTAAGCAAAATATAAGCAATATTATGAAATGTTTACAGGTTAACTTAAATTAACTTGATGAAATCAAAAACCTATATAGTAATTGGAACGACAATAAGAATTAAATGAATCTACTCTAAACTACTATTTATTAAATAATACCAATTTGAAATATGAACTCTCTAAAACAGGTATGAGAAACAAAAAAAAACAACTTAAAATATAGCTAATAAAGGAGTACCCCACCCCACCCACTTCCAAAGCAATTTTAAAAATTAAATGTAAAATATAGTATAATGTTAATTTATAATTATTTCAGTTTTTTTCTTAACAATACCTTTTGACTGTACATTAAATAGACAAAATGCTTAGATCAATTACAGTGAATACAAAAATTTAAACATGTTAGATAGTTATAAACATTTAAATAGAATCACAATTAATTTACAAAATGCGTAGATCAATAATAGTGAATATAAAAAGTAAAACATGTTAATAACATAGTTAAATACTCATCTTATAACCTATGGTTCATGCACATACAGCACAATATGTCATCGCAATCTGCTACCTCTTAGTATGGCCCACTGAGATAGACCACATTCAGCAGGACTCTGACATTGCCATAAATAGTAATAAAATTAAATTGCTAGCCTGCTGCAGGCAGAGATCACAGAGCGCATTCTATGTGCATGAACATTTAATCATGCAATGGATAAATATGGGAAAGTTGAACAAATTAGACTTAAATAAACATACCTAATGGATTAATGCTTAGTGCTAAAAACCTAGGTTTATCAAGGAATTTAATTTATTTTTAAAAATAAATTTAAAAAATACGTCTGTAAGTAATAATATAGCTCATAAAACTGAAATCATGTCATTTTATCATAGACTTACAAAAGTACACACATTATAAACAAAGACATGTATATGTACAATTTTATTTTTATTACAAGAGTTACCATCAAGATTTATCACTAACTCCTAATCTGATAGAACATGTAACCGTATAGAATATTACAAGATAACAACTGACTTTGATGAATTATATTAAGTTAAAAATATTTTACATTATATGGCATGAATTATAACAGTAGTTATGTAAAATTATATTATTATTATTATTATCCAATTACTTTATTTACTTAAATTCTATTGAGAAATGGGTTGAACATTCCAGTCGAAAAAATGGAATTCTCTCATTTTAATCTTATGACTCTCACATACTAGATAATTAATAGAAGCAAAACAGCAAAGCAAAAAGCTATCTTTTCCACAGAAACCAAATAGACAGATATTTAAAAATAAAAAAACAAAAAATGACCACATACCTTCTGAGGCAGCTTCAACTGATTTTATCTCAGAAACACTAGACCTATAAATTTAAAATGAAACACAAATAGTTACGAGACTTAGTTAGAATTATCATAAAATTAAATGAAAATATGATTAATGAGCTTTAATCAATAAAAAATATCTTATAAGAAAGTTCAACTTACTCGACTTCTCTTTTTTCTGCTTCTTCTTGGCTAAGATCTTCTTCAACAGAATAATCCAAAATGGGTTTGACACCAAAACTTCTAAGTCTGGTAAGAGTGGGAACTATTCTATTTTGATCTTCTCCAGCAACGAAATGGCCATAAAAAGAAGCTTTCATTAATCGTACAAACAGTCTTTCTCCAAGTATCGACTTGCAGAGTTTCATTAGCTACATGCACCATGAAAAAGAAGACAACATACTATATATTTAAAGAAGTAGAGAAATCAAAATATGTAAAGCAATTGAAAATTATTCAATATTTTGAAACAATAGAAACTGAATATATAAAGCTATCATAGAACCCAATAGTTATTTAAAGGCATATTTTGAATGGCTATCAGCCAAAAATGAACAGACCTACAAATATTATACATTAAAAATTAAGTGAAAACAAAACATATCGGCTTGCGGTGTACTTGCTTTATGAGACTAAAAATAAACAGATTATCTGTAATAATGAAATGAAATAACCTAAACAAAAAAAAAAAAGAAAGAAATAAAAAAAAAGTCATCACATAATAATAAATAACTTGAAACCGTACTGGCATAAAATGAGAAGAAAATTAATGAACAATTAAGTGAATAAATATAAACAGAAAAAGTCAAACTATTCATAATTTTTACAATAGAAATATTCGAAATAAAACAAAAAAACTTCTTCCATAAAACCAAATACAACTCTATGTATGATAATTCTGTCCTCGAAAGAGACATAATCTAAAATAGTTATAAAAAAAGTAAAGTCATGTACACGAGATGACCAAGAAATCATGCACTATATTGAAGTAATTTAAAAACCTATCATTTTGCAACAGCTGAGTATCTACTTTTCAATAGTATACTGGGTATCTACTTCAATACTACACTGATTATCTACTTCAATACTACACTACATTTTAGGAAAGGAATTACTGCTTGAAAAGGTTACCTCCATGTTATGTTCAACTAAATAACTTGATGAACATAGTGTATAAACTATGTATGCTCTTAAAATTTCGAATGTTGTTTTACTTTTAAAGGCGGCTTCAGGGTCGTTAAAAGAAGTATCCAAGGGATCCCTCCTGGGAGGAGAATCTCTCACATCACATAATTCAGCAGCAGTAGAACTTCGGCACCGATTTTGGTTTTCGTTTTCAATAGCAGGTACAGAATTCCTCGTTGATAGTATGCTACTAGTCTGAGAGTTCAAACGAAATTTTTTGGCCACACTACACTTATTAAATATTGATCTCAGAAACGCCATTCTAAAAATATAAATGAGAATTTAATATTTTATACACCTCTATTTATGAAGTACAAATTATAACTTTAAAATAAATACTATTTCGGGGTGACCACGTGCAATTTTAAGCTACACTCAACGAGAAAATCAGCAACCCACTAACTAACAAGATATTACTCCCCTAAGTGGAAAAAGGCCACGGTTCAAGTAATAGTGGAACAGTCAATCAGTGAAAGAAAATTTTGCAATATTTTTTTTTTACTCGTTTTTAAGCTTCAAACAGTTACTGAAAATTTTAAATATATATATATATAAAATACAAAATTAAGTATTATTTACATATATTAACGAAATAATTTTTTCAAACATGAATAATTGATCTACCACCTACAAAGCAAGGAAGATTCAAGCAAGAAATATACAAGGCTTACAAAAGCTATTTTGGGGGTCATCAACAAAAGTTATTAATCGTTTATTTGTTAATTTGGTGATTCTAACATTAATAAAAACAAACTTAAAGGTTTAGTTTCATTAAAAATGTACACAGTGTCCATTTGCAAAAAGCCAACGATATAATTTTTCCCTATATCGACGTAAATAAGATCAGCGGTATCGGCTAGTTTATATATATATATGAATGTATGTCTGTCCTTTGTGCATTACTAAACCATTCATCCGATCGGCATGAAACTTTGGGAAGTTGTTCCGTACACTCCTGGGAAGGTTTCTGGCATAGTACTTCTGTCTTACGATAATTTCATGTATGTAAACAAAAAAAAATGTAAATGTTTTTCTGTTGCAAGCTGCAAAAAAATGTGTCGCTATAAACTGTAGCGCCAAAACGGCTTTACTGACTTTAATGAAACTTGGCTAAAGTCTTCCCTTTGAAACCCTTTTAATTTATGTGTATAACATACATTCCCTAAAACAAACTGAAAAATGTTACGATGAATTCAATATTTTATTTGAATGACTAAAAAGGTACAGAGTTTTTGTCCGATAATAACCACATTTATTTGAAAGATTCTTGATTTGCCGACAAAATAAAAAAGATGTCATCGAAATGGAAAAGCAGTAACCCGAAATAAAACAATTTCTAGCGGCCGTAGGGGTAAAGTGGGTTAAATTATTTTTTTGAGGAAAAACAAAGTTGAGATTTGTATTTCACACCCATATTTATATGAATGATTTCTGAATTGCTGACAAAATAAAAAAAAAATCAGCGAAATCAGAGAGTTATAGAGTTTTAAACATTTACTGCTTTCTCTTCAGAAAAGGCCTTTGCTTCCTCATTACCGAAGGTAGGCAAGCATTTTTTTATTGATTAATCGAAAATTTTATAATTACTACAGTAATTGAATTTATCATTTGAAGAAGTTATATGATTCTCCTTATGTAGGTCAATACTATTATACGTTCTTTATATTAATTTTTTATTTTAGTTTTATAAGTCCAACTCAGACTCTTTCTGATGATTATGAATAACGGCGTATTCACTCAGATGATTATGAATGTCCAATTTGAATCATGAGAAAAAAAATCAATAGAATTAGTTTAAATTGAAGCCATTTTACAGACAAATTTGTTTCCCAACTTTTTAAAAATGACAGATGTCCTTTGCTATTAATCTTCTCATATGTGCTTTCTATTTTCTTTGTTTTTCATTTTGCCGGGTTAAACTTGTATATATATAAATTGTATGAGAAGGAGTTAGTCGAGGGTGCGGTCAAATAAATAAAAAAATTAAAACATATAAATTATTTTAATTTTTGCCGACGTTTCGACCCACTTTGCAGGTCGTCTTCAGGGCGTAGGATGTGGCACTCTACGAGGGCACTCTACGAGGGCGTACGAGTGCCACATCCTACGCCCTGAAGACGACCTGCAAAGTGGGTCGAAACGTCGGCAGAAATTAAAATAATTTATATATTTTATTTTTTTTTATTTATTTGACCGCACCCTCGACTAACTCCTTCTCATATTATATTAACGGTCAAACATCTCTACATCAGTATATAAATTGTACGTCTAAAAGGTTCTTTTTCCTCTAGCCTAGGGGCCTCCAAACTCCGGGCCACATTGAGACCTCCACCAAGTCCAGCGGACAGCATTGATACTCCATTAAGTCCCGCGGGCCATCACCTGTGATGAAAAAAAATCCTGTTCTATATGTTCTATAAATGATACTTTAGTTCAGAAATGAGCTTTCTAAGAGAAACAACCTGTGCAATAAATGTCGAATTAACCTCATATGTAGTTGATTTATTAAATTAAATCCAATCCATCCCTCTTTTCCCAGTCAGCTAGTGTTCCTCAAGGAAGTATCCTAGGTAATATTCTTTACACAGCTGACATCCCAACCCATCCAAATACCGTTATTACAACCTATGCCGATGAAACATGTGTCCCATCAGTTCATAACGACCCAACAATTGCATCCTAAACCCTTTAGTCCCACATCACAAAAACCTTGAAGAATGATGTCAAAACTGGAGAATTGAAATAAATTCGAATAAATCCCATCAATTTATCCTTCGCCGTAAACCTATGACTTCCTGCCGTACAGTATCCTTTAATAATACCCCCACTTATCCTTGTTGAACAAATCCGATACCTAGGATTCCATCGGGACAAACGTCTAACCCTCATACCAGACTTAAACGACAAGAAAACGCTCGACGTTTCCGATTACTTCAGCACTTACTAGACAACACTCTAAACTTCCAATTAATTACAAAAGACTCATATACACGACCATAATAAGACCTATTTGGAATTACGGAGTTGAGCTTTGGAGCTCCACTAAACCATCGAATTTCACTTGTATCCAATCTTTGCAATCCAAAATTCTTCGTAAAATCCTCAATGCTCCTTACTTTGTAACAAATAAAATAATCCACAATGACCGGAATGTTTCATATGATTCCATAATAAAATTCAGAATCATCCTAATACTCCCATTTTTAACCTTGCTTCCATCCTCGATCTCTGATAGCCCTCCGACGCCTCTGAAAAGGAGATGGCCTCGTGATCTCCTAATTTAGATACTTTATTAGAGTGCTACCAATGGTACCAATTGTAGATTCTCTACAAGCCTTGTCATCTCATGTATTTCTCTTTATCACATTTGCTGAATGTATATTAATTTCTACAGATGTAAATTTCAATAAACATAATAATAATAAAAATATATAAAATAGGCCGTAGTTTGGAGACTTCTGTTCTAACCCAATAAGTGAGTGTAACTTTAAGTGACAAGACGTGTTTGTCCCGCGTCCTGCAGTATTTTGAAAAAGTCCCGATTTTTGGGAAGAATGTGACAAGCTAGTGAAAGGCAGGAGAACGGAAAGAGAATACGGTTTTCGGCCGCCATGTGGCTATTTCGCAAGGATATGAGTTTTATATTATTTTTGTTAATTTCATAATGTTAAACATTAATATTAAAACATAATTGTTGAGCACTGATTATCGAGAACTGCTTACCAATGTTCGCATTGTTGATCAGTTGTTAGAATTTGACCACCATTGTTTGAACTTTATAAACTGTAATATAAGAATGTAACCTCTTTGTATATTCAATTATATTATAATCGATTACCTATGTTAATTGGATTAAGATAAGACAGATTGTGTATTTGTAATGAATAATAAAGCACACCTAAATTTGTTCTATAAGTATTATTATTTAACATCTAGTCCTCATTACCCTAGATCTAATGGTCTCTCGCAAAAAAAGGATAGGTGTCGAGAAGAAGATGATAAAGAAAGTCTCTTATTCGGGAGGAGACAACCAGTTTATGTTAAATGGAAGGATCGATAGAAAGAAGGATATATTACAAAGATTCTTCCTGAACCAAGATCATACCTGATCAGAGACCAATATGACAACGAATATAGAAGAAACTCATCCCACTTAAGACGCCTCACCACTCCCAATCCTAATCCATTTCTTAAATTACCTAATAATGATTCTCAACTCAACCCAACTAATGCTGATTCTGATCCTCTATGCCAACCCTCTAATGTTTATCAACTTATTTTTGTCGTCCCGAGTGACGGTGCTGTTACACATAGACCACTGAACCATATTGTTTTATGTTGAGACAAAAAAAGTGTAGAAATATATATATATATATATATATATATATATATATATATATATATATATATATATATAACTTACCTCTGTTCGAAACAAGAAAGATAAAAAAAAGAAAGAAAGGTCCGAAATAAAACACGTGGTTGCTCAAATAAGACTCTTTATTATCTCCGTAATGCTATATATATAGCATTACGGTTTGTTTACAACTGTTGAATAGGATTAAATAATATATCAACTTACATCTAACCATAACTCCCCCCCGCCAGTTTATGAACACTCTTCATAAACTAACGCTGGGTTACTGATATAATACATAACAAAACAAAACAACAAAACAAAATAATCTTCCTTGGCGTTCCCATACAGCCATAGTACAGAACAAACAAAATTAAACATTTTCCTGCAAAAAAAACAAAGAGCTACAACTGAAATAAACCTTCTACCGTCCTTCCATAGCTTGTAGGAGACAGAAAAGAGGATATACCACTTATTTACGTTACTGACCCGGCTCTATCGGGAGTTTCAACTGTTCTATGTGAACGGTCCTCCGTTTCCTGGGATCGTTCAGACTCTGAATTGTACAAAGATTGTGTTCGCGAAGTACAATCACTTTGAATGGTCCTTCGTAGCGTGCCAGTTCTTTCCCCCTATTAGAACCTACCCTACGATAGACTGTCGTCCCTATCTTCAATTCCCCCATTCTGTCCTTGAGGTTCAGATTGGCCTTCTCCACCCTTTTCCGTTTTTCCCGCTCTATTTTCGCTCTCGTTTTTTCCCACACTTTCTTTATCTCTGCTCTGTTACAAGTGATCCGATGAGCTTGTGCTTCGTCCGTGAGTGTTTCCATCCAATCCCGTCACCGTATATTTATTCCAAAAAATACCTCGACCGGAGAAAACCCTGTAACGGAGTGGATTGAATGATTATAGGCCGCTACTGCTCTTTTCATGGCTACATCCCCTTCCAATCCCTGCTCCCCTTGATAAATACGTAGGTGGTCGCTTAAAGTGCTGTGCAACCTCTCGATATTTCCTCTGCCCTTTGTATGTCCCGGAGTATTAAAGTGCCAATCTATATCCAATCGTTTAACCTC